GCAAGGTTTATGCGCATAGTCCAAGTCTTCTTCTCCATTTTTAGTGTATCTCTGTGGCAGAATTACAGCGCCACATACTGGACTGGCATGTATACTACATTGTTTTGTGTCGGTTTCGTGGTTTCGTGTGGATGCAGATATTTCTTGAGACGAGGGGAAAAAAAGATTGGATAGGGAAAGCTCTGGCTTCGTGTGGACGTAGCCTGAGATCTTAAATACACCAACAGGGTAATCAACAAGAACAGAAACAGGTGTCAACTAATTTAGAACCACTTAACCTAGGAGACCAATGAGCACCACTATGCACTGAAGCATAACCCTGGCACAAACACACCTGGACCAGCTCACCAAGGACTTCAGGATTGCTTGAAAATAGCAAGTGTGTTGAAGCAGGTTGGAAATAAACTTTTTACAGGACAATGGGTCTCTAGGAAGAGGATTGAAGTCTTTTGCTTTAATATGTAATGTTGAATGGCTATAATTACTCATATTATTCTTAGACAATTTAATTAATTAATTAATTAATCATATTGGTGTCAATACATCAAATATATAAATATAGCCATAATATTATTTGTTAAAATTACTTTGTTAAAACAATATTATAAAATAACTAATCACACAGAAACACTGTTTTATTCCGTTTACAGCTCTACTATGTACAGAAAAAAATCATAGATAATTATGTTTTGATATTTAACTTTTGATTATTGTGTAATAAGAATGTTAAAAAAACAAATGAAAAGATAAATAGCACACACACTGAACAAACACAGAGTTACAAATGTTAAATGCAAAAAAAAGTGTAACATGCATCTCTGGTTTCTCTCTTGCTACATATTAAGAAAGTGCAAAACTCAAATATTCATAATCGAATAGTTGTAGGCCATTGGTTTTCAACGTGTGTGGCGCACCTCCCCTGCGGGACACCAGAGCATGTCAGGGGAGCCGCGCAGAGTAGTAAAAAAAGTAATTAATGATCAATCAGTAAATTATAGTGGAAACAAAAGCTTTGCACTATGATGATTGTAATCAAGGTAAACAGATTACAGTGACATACAGGTGTCATACATTAGCCATGTGAGAGTCAATAATCAGTTATTATTAATTTGCAAATTCAAGATTGTAAAACCTGACAAAGCTATGCAGAGAGGACCAACCTGTCATCATACAAAGGTCTTGCAAAGAAGCATATTTAGCAAGGAATGAACCAATCACTATTATACAAACAAACAAATATAAAACATCTATTTGTAAATGCAGGCATTTTTAATGTTTAAAAGTATTATCTTAATTTGTCCAGCACCAAAAGCAGAACCGATAACGTCCAAGCTTATTGATACTACTGCCTTAATTTCTTTCATACATGTAGAAACGTTATCATTGTGAATTAATAGAGGATTAGCTCTAGTGAATGTTTTAGCATTGTTATTTTGTTGCTTTAACAATGTTTTATTGAAAATAATACTTTAGTTTGAAGTCACCATAATGGTGATTAGTTTCCTTTAGTTGGGCTTTACACCAGGGGTGCCCAAACCTGCTCCTGGAGGGCCACTGTCCTGAAAAGTTTATCTCCAACCCTAATTAAACACACCTGAATCAGCTAATCCAGGTCTTCAGGCAATTCCCAGACAAGCATGTTGGAGCTAAACTCTGCAAGACATTGGCCCTCCAGGAGCAGGATTGGACACCCCTGCTCTACACCCTTCACTTTTGTTAAATGCAATATTCAATAGTGCAATATGCAAATGCAGCTGTTGTGATAGAAAGATCACTGGAATGCATTAACACTGTAACAAGGTGAACAGAAATTGTCTCTTAAATGTGCAACAAGATCTTTGTCCAAAAAATTTCCACTAGTTTATTAGTTCCACTAGTAGTAAGACAAGCCTTGTACAAGCCTTAACAATGGTGAACAAAGTCAATAAAAACTACAGCAAAAATAAAACAGAAAATAGTATATAAAGAATACAGACTTTATTAAAGCCACAGAGAAAAAAATAAATAAACATTGCACTGAAAAATGCTAATATTCAAATGCACACACTCAATCTTCCAGCCTGGGGTGAAGTCATTATGCACATTAACAATGATTTGGGACAAAAATTGTCATTTAAAGTTAAACTATGTGAGTGGTGCTTTGTGGCATGGCCAGGTTTTGAACAGCCTCCTGAGTTATAGATGGAATAATATGGGGTCTATCCTGACTAAGGTTTTATCTTAACATTCATTGTTTAATTCAATGAATTTGTACAGAAGCACTGTTTTTATTGGCTGCAGAGGTCGTGCTTTAAATTAGACTTTTCTAAAAGAGTTTCAGCGTGCTCTCTGTTAGCACATTAGTATACAGCATGCCATTAGCATAATATAACACTCTCAGAGAAGATGTGTCTTCACGTGTCTTAAGGTATTGAGAAAATAATATCCCCAAAATTTTAACCAGATCTCAGAGCTGATAGCCCCATGGGCAGCACTTCGATGTATAGCATGGTTCAAGTGATGTCAAAATTCAAGTCCCAGCCACCACCCCATTGTCCTATAAAAAATAAAAGCAAAAATGCCAAAAAGTACATGTTAAAAAAAATAATTATATTTCTTGAATCCTTTATCTGCTCAGATGCTGTGGAGTCCTGTGCCAGTAGCACTGGCTCAATTTCTCTGTCCCGCTGCCAGCTCTTTGAATCTGGTTTTTCTGCTGAGACCCTTCACCTAAATGACCCAAGCTGCAGAGGGACCCTTGAGGATGGCAGACTTGTGTTTAATTTTGACAATGAAGACCACATATGTGATACCTCTCTGACAGTAATTATCCTTCCATTTTTGTTTCACTAGAGCTGTATGTATGTATGTTTTGATATGTACGATTAGTAAGTTGACCTGTAGCTTGAGATTTATTCATGTCCTCATAGAGCAACAGGACTCACTTCATCTACCAAAATGCCATTCAGTCTAACTTGAGAAGCAATGATCAGAGCATCATTTCAAGAGCAAGATGGATGAATATTACATTTTTTTGTGCATATCCTCTGATCCAGAAAATATCTATGCCCATGGGCATCCGAGCTGAAGGCGGGTAAGGCCACTCAGTACCTTCTGAATACAAGTGTGTAGTATTTAGACAGTGAATAGTTTTCTAATTGAAGTGATTGAGACAAAGCATTACTGTGATTTTGGTAAATCTTCGTGTTTTTAACCATTTGGAATGACAACATTCAAGTTCCAATAGTTAACATGTCTGTCCTTTAGAACATGACAGATGCTGCTTATTACCTACAAAATCAGTTATCTAATTTTGGACTTGACAGAGAATTTCCACCAGATGCAACATGAGATT